AGAGTTTTATTGGAGCTGCAAGGCCTCATGGTAGGACAGAGTCGGGAAGACCTTAGCTGTCTCAGCTACCTCCTTCCAGGCGTGGGCGCTGGCTTCCAGGACAAGCTCTAAGGGACTCAGAGGCCCAGGACTCAGTAGGCGCTCAATGAATGTCTGTCCGATCGTCTGATGGCACCCAACACACCTACTAGGTGCCCAGTCCTGGGTAGCAGTGGCTAGACGTTGAAGGCAAGGCAGGAGACACAGAAGGGAGCCATTAAACCGACCAGCGAGTGTGGGACTTGGCAGGACCAGCTGAGGAAAGATAAGTGCAGACCCACCCCAGTAACTGGGAAAATGAGGGCTGGCCATGACGGGATCCTGTCTCAGCGGCCCAGCCATTTCACCACCAGATCACTTCTGGCTCCTCCCCCCACCCACAGGCACCCTTTTTGCTTGTCATATAAGGGAGACTTTCCCAAAGTGGTTTAGCCAGAACTGGCAGGGCCCTGCCCCAGGTTGGGGTAGGAGGAGCCTGGCTGTTGCCCAGGAGCGCTCAGGAGGGACTCCAGGTGCCTGCAGCTGGATGGTGAAGTATGGGCATGCTTTATTCCGCTCTGCGTGACTTCAAGGTTTTGTTACTTGATTATAGTGTAGACCAGCGGTCGCCAACCTTTCGGACTTCACGGACCACCGGTTGGCGACCACTGCTGTAGACGCTCCTGAAAATGCGTGTAGGCAAAAAGCTCACAGATCCCACCCTTTCAAAGAAAACAATTTTGTTGTGTGGCCTTCTATTCAAGTATGAAGGTGGTGTAGACGTTTTTAAAAATGTATATTTTTTGTTATTGATTTCAGAGAGGAAGGGAGAGGGAGAGAGAGATAGAAACATCAATGAAGAGAGAGAATCATCAATTGGCTGCCTCCTGCACGCCCCCTACCGGGGATTGAGTGCAATGTTGGCATGTGTCCTGACTGGGATTCGAACCGTGACCTTCTGGTTCATAGGTCGACGCTTAACCACTGAGCCCACCGGCCGGGCAGTGTAGACATTTTTATGAAAACCAGGTGTGGGTGCTGCAGCCGAAGGCTTGAGGTGCCTGAGAGTGAGGAGGAGGTTTTGAGAGAAGGGGTCCCCCGAGAGCATACCACGGGGACACTGGGAGTGCCCCTGGTGAGTGTGACCGGGTGGATTTAACTGGGGGGTTGCTCTACGGAGCCTCCCAGATTAGCCCCAAATCCAGAGAAAAAGAGGCCTCGCTGGCTGGGTACTTCTCTCCCGGGTCTCTGCTGGAAAGGTGAGAACCCCAGTTACAGCCCCCTTCCCTTGGGCCTTCACTAACCATCATGCCCTGCTTCCCCCCACAGGTGGACATCCCTCCTGTGTTCCAGGCTTCTGTCACACGGTGCCCCAGCCTACTGACTGCTGTGTCAAACTGATCCAGTGGGATCCACAGGTCAGTACAGCTCCTACGGCTCCAAGTCCGGACTCCTGGGCTCCAGGGGAGTTAACTTCCTAGGGCAAGCATGTCAAACTCAAAGGCGGACGCGAGCCAAATAAATGAGGCATGCGGCCCGCTGGCCACGAGTTTGACATGTTTGTCCTGGGGCCTTAGGGCCTCTGATATGGATAAGGGAGAATAATACCTGCCCACGGAACTTGATCCCGTGAGATAAAGAACCTCGCTGGCTAGCAGTCAGCAACTGAAGCAAGCTGGGACTCCCTCCAGAGGGGTCTCAAGGAGAGTGGCTGTAGCAACAGAATCGTGGTAAATGACAGCCGCATGGGAAACCCTGGGTGAAGCCAGGGCAGGTGCTCACTTGCTCCGTCCTAGCCTCTCCCCTCCCTCCGGCGTTGCACCTCTGAGCAGCACAGTTCCAGGATTTCAGCGCTAAGTGCCAGAGGCAGGCTTGGAGGAACTGGCAAGTGCAGTGCCGCCTCTTCCTTCACCCCAGACCACCGAGGCTCCCCTGGGACCAGCCTCCGGGATGGGTGGGGCGCCTAGAGGCAGCCAGCATTGCTATCTCTCTGGCTTGACCTCTCTTCTAGGTCAGAGGACAAGAGGGAAGGGCACTCGCTGGGAGACTCCAAGGCTAGAGGGGGCCAGCCCAGTCCCAGTTTCCCCTCAATGGGGTCCCCTTGCTCAGACTAAGGAAGAGTCGTGACTCACTTCCTGCCTCGTTGGGTCTGACTGCAGAAGTATTGTCTCTACCGACAGTGGCTGCTGCGGGTGGGGCTCCCCCAGTGTGGCCCCTACCAGTCAGTCCCTTGTTGGGAAAAGTTCCCACTCCCAGTCTCCTCCCCCAGCTAAGTTTTCGGAACCCCTCATTCTTCCCCAGGTTTCCGGTTTTTGCAGCATTTGTAAGGATGCCCGTATGGTACCTTATCCTATTAACTGAGTATTATCTCCATTTTATTTTTTTTTAATTTATTTATCTATTTATTTTTGGTATTCCTCACCCGAGGATATTTTCCCATTGATTTTTAGAGAGAGGAGAGAAGGACAGAGAGAGACACACTGATTGGTTGCTCCTATAAACTTTGTTAATGTGGTTTGAAAGACTGAAAATTTTGTTGAGTGTGTAATTTTATCATGAATTAGTGTGACTTATAAAATGCCTTATAGTTTTTTATTAAATTAATCTATTATACTTGATAGATATTTTTATGGGTTACTAGCTTAAAATTTTTAATTTTGAGACCAACCAGTGTTGCTCAGTGGTTGAGCATCCCCCTATGAACCAGGAGGTCAAGGTTTGATTCCTAGTCAGAGCAAATACCTGGGTTGTGGGCTCCATCCCCTTTGGGGTGGTGGTGGTGGGGGGCGATCAATGATTCTCTCTCATCATTGATGTTTCTATCCCTCTCCCTTTCTCTCTCTGAAATCAATAAAAACATATATTTGTTAAAAAGGTACCTAAAGGAAAATGTATTAATTACATCCACCTCATAGGGCTTGCAGTGAGGAAGAAGCGAGTTACAGGGGAAGAGCTGAGAAGTGCAGCCGGCTCCCGGAAAACACTGGGCCGAGTTCATTTTTTGTCCTTATTATCCCCAAACCTGTGCTGCCAGGTTATCTCTGGGTGAACAGGAAGGGATGGGCAGAGACTGCTCTGCGACCTTGGACCAACCTAGCCCCGGGGAGCTCTTGGCCACATGTCCCCTCTTTTCTCTCACCGCTCAAGCAGGGGCGGCCTCGCCAAGTAGCACAGACGTTTTCTAGGGCAGGGACCCAGGGAGGGAGCCGAGTTGGCTGGTACAATGCAAGTCCCGGGCTGCAGGCTCTGCCCAAGCGCCACACAGGGCTTCCAGGCGCCGCGGCCTGCTAGCTAGGGAACTCGGACAAATTATTTAAACTTCGTACGCCTCAGTTTCCTTATCTGTAAAATGGGATTAGTGTCAGCTTGAAGGGATTATGTGGGTTAAATAATGTACATAAGAGGGAGATAATGTAAAGTGCCTGGCCCGGTGCCCCGTCGGGCGGTCACATGAAAAGGCGGTGGGCTTCTGGTTCTGCTTGTCCATCTGTCTGTACAGATAACAGGTTCAAGTCAGGTCTCGGCTCCTGGGACAGTGGTCCGAGGTTTGCCGCCTGCTGTGCAGTCCGACCACAGGTGGGTGCCCCCGATCCGTCGTCCAGGGCATTTACCCGGTCAGGCTCAAACTCGCGGCTCTGGAGTGGGGAGTGGGGGGAGGGTTCCCCCCCAGAATCCAGCCGCCAGGGGGCTCCCAGATACTCTTCCCCGCCCTTCCCAGCCCAGGCCAAGGGTCTGCGGGTCTGCGGGTCTCCGCGCCTCCGGCCGGAGGAGCTCACAG